GCTTGAGACCTGCAAAAGCCAGGCAGGGGTTTTAGCCAAACTCCCCTCCCCATTTTCTTGCATCACCATTCAGTGTTTTGTGGTAGGGCAATATGCTGTTAATCAACCATCAAGTTATTCCCCACAAGCAGTTGCATGTCAGTGGCGGGTGCAGTGATCCTCATCAATCTCCCTTTATGGGCGCTGTGTGGCTAAATCCCCCAGTCAGCTTGCAGATTCTGAACATACAACTCAGCTCTATGCAGCAATGAGCGCACAGCATCAGCCTAAAACAAATGCTTGGTTGGTCCAAGGAGTATTCAATTTTGTCTTAAGCTATTTTGTTAAAAAAACAAAAAAACTTAACTGGTTAGTGATGCAAACCACAAGGGCTTCTAACCTGCCCTATCATGTCAACAAAGCATAATTATCACTTTAACATCACATATATCATTTGTGGAGAGGACTGCTAATATATATATATTCCTGTAAAAAGAATGAAGATTATTGGAAGGTGACTAATCTCTGTGTACCTGTGGTGGTCTCACAAACTGAAAAGCAAATATTAGATCAGGCCCCTTCCACCTACGCAACTGCTGTGCTGGGAGAATTTTAAGCTACTGTGCCTATTTCCTGGAAAGGCCATGTCCAGCCTACTATAAAGCAGAAGGGAGGGTCTGAAATCAAATCGTTCGGCTCTTTGCTCCATGGCATGCTGTAACGCAATCTGGGGACGTGCCATGCTTAGGAAGTGATGAAGTGGGTACATGATCCGCTTGCCTTGTGCCATCTTATCAGTAATAGGAAAGGAATAACTTCCTCCGAGCAAGCAACTGTGCTAATCACATTTAAGTGATACATTAATCATCACTGCTGTTCATCAGGAGTTTCCGCCCCCGATCAAAGGTGTTAAGTAGCGGGAAAAAAAAATTTTTTTTAAATGTTTAATTTTCATGGCAAATATGTGTAGCAGGGAAACCTGAGCCCGTGGGGCAGCCCTATCCTTTATTGATGATGTGGGCGAGCAGGTGAATCCTTCATCCTCATGGGTCCCTTTGAAGTGCTCTGTGTGTGAGCTAGTTAAGTGCCTGCACTTGGCTGTCCGGATCTCGGCTTCTCTCTGTAGAGCAGATGCATGGAACGTGAATTTCTCTTTGCCTTTGCGAAGCACATAAAGCTCTCAAACAATGTGCATAATTGAGACAATAACTTCCTCCGCAGCTGGGGATCCTTGCCTGCTCTGCATAAAAGAAGTAAAGAAGAGGAGGGCTGTCTCCTGAGCTGCTGGGACCCTTGGGTGCTGGCTGGGGTCAGCTGGCCCTGAAGCAGTCAGCGTGTGACCCCAAGTGATCTTTTGCTTGTTCTGTAACTCCCTGTTCATACTGGTTTTGTTACATGTTGGGGGGCTGAGCCTTCTGTTGTGTATCTAGTACAGAATTAAATCCTCTGCCCTTCATCAGCACAGGGACACAGGCAATGCCAGTCTGCAACAGCCCCATGGCTCTTCCTTAGCTCAGTCATGTTTGCAAGTGGCCACCACCAGATGTTTCAGAGGAAAGTGCAAACACTTTGGCAGTGGGCAAACACAGGATAACCACTACTGGATATCACAACAAATGAACAAGTCACCTGTAGAGAGCACTCCCCCTCTCTCAGCACATTTGGTATATGTTTAGGATTATACATCTGTTACGTATATTTATTTTTAAAAATGCACCAAAAATAATTAGCGCACATTATAGGCTGACCGATTTCTTGCTGTATGCACCAATCCTAAATATACCGAGAGCTTCTTCAAGCTGGTGGATTGTTGAAGTACTGTTATATGTATGGGGGGAAAAAAAAAAACAGGATTTCAAGAGCAATCTCATTTGGAAACAGAAGGCCCATTGTGTTGCTCTTATCCAGAGATTTTTCTGATCGGTCTTTTTAGTGGGAAGAAAAAAAGCCTTTATCGACTGGATTTAACATGCTAAAAAGTAATCCACAAAGTAGGCCAGGAGCTGCAGTGGTGATAAGAGGAACATAAAGACACCGGGAGGGATTGAGAAACTGCAGGTTTCATCTTTTAAATTCCCTCTTTTTTAAAAAAAAAAGGAAGTGTGGCAGAAATGTCAGCGAAGCTTTACGAGGAGGGGGAGCGCCGTTCTACTTACAGTTGGTGCCACCTGGAAGAGGAAATTATTTCTAAGTAAACAGCCCGGCAGAAGCCACGACACAAAGGAGACCCTCCCTCCCCCCCTGCACTGCCTTTCAGAGAAGCATGACATTAGAGCTGCAGAAAATTCATCTCTGTGGGCAGAACAGGGCTGAGGGCAGCAGCACTGCACCCCTCTACCCTCATATTAATTCATTAGTGAGGGCTGCGACCTCTGGCCTGCCTGACCTGACCCTCCTGGTGATGAACGAGTTTAGTCCTGCACGTGGCATGGGAGGTAGTTGATCCCTGCGGGCTAATTGATTCAACTTGGCAAGGCACATTTTGGAGCCCTGCTTGCTGAGCAGGAAGATCTGCAGAGGAAGACAAGGTGCGGCACTCCTATAATGCAGCCAGGGATGCTGGGGCTGAAGGGGCAGCTGGCCTGGCAGGAAGCTATTTAGCCAAAATGTACAACGCCAAGCGGAGATGGCCTGTTTCTACTAACCAGGGGGCACACACATGGGTGTTAACACTACAAGAGGCTTCTTTCTATAGTGCAGCCATTTGCAAAGCAGTCCCTTTGCAGACCCCCTCTGAAACACTTCCACTGCCACCAGCAAAGGAAAGCATATTTCTAAACCTACCAGTAACAGCAGACAGGAACAGGATGACAACACAGACATTTCCACACCCCCAGATGGCTCATAGAGGGGGTAAGACTCCAAAAAAAGGACCACCGTGCAAGCAGCGCTAATAGGAAAAATACTGAGGTATTTTCATCTAGTCCAAAATGCTGATGTAAGCTTCGCTGTCTTGAACCCGACTGTAGGATACTAGAGTATTTTTAACAAGAGAAGAACTTCTAGATTTAAATCATGTCTAGAAACCCAGCAGACCGCAAAGTGAATTGAGAAGAATTGCTTTGTCAGTCATTATTTATAATAACTATTCTATATATATCCGAGCCACTCCGCAGAAGCACATGAAGGATCGCGAGCTGAATGACACTAATGTGCAAGCAGATGTGAGGCAGAAGAGAAGGGGTAGGGGGAAGAGGAAGGCTGCTGGAGGGAAAGAGCAATAACAACGAGTGGGGAGCCTGAATTGCCTTGCTATGAGGAACGGCTATGAGGAAGGGAAGCTGGGAGGCTCTGGCACAAGCAGAAAGCAGGAAGCTCAGCCCAGACAGTGACAAGTAGACACAAGCCATTGCCATTTCTGCAGGGGAGGAGGAAGCTGGGACCTCTCATCCCACTGCGTATGTCTGGTCACCCCAATAAACAGATTTTGTATGCTGCAAGGCTGGCTGGCAGGTGCACTGCAACAGGAGCCCAGCGCTCACTGGCACCTCAGCATAGTCAGCCTGTCAGCAAACAATCCGGGGATTGTGCAAACTGAGGAACAGGCTTTTTCTCTGGGTTATATAAGAAGCTGTGACAGGTCAGGCACTGAAAGCATTCACCAGCCAGAGGCAAACTGCACTGACACAAAGTGAACTGCACTGCTGGGTAAGCGCGCTGATACAGCCGGGACCCCCCTGCAGGTCCTGTGGCTGGACAGTTCTTGTTCCTGTACCATAATGCTCTCTTGGAGCAGCTGCTGCACCTTGCTGGTGGACAGGTTTGAAAGAACGTGGTCTTGCTTTCCACATGCACTGTTGTGCTCAGTGCTGAGGTTGCTCAACACTCCCGGCTGCCTGAGTGACAGAGATGGGCCAACCATGCCATATGAAACCTTTTAACACAGTGGTCAATGGCATGGGTCATGTTGTTAAACCCAGCGGCTGCAGTGGACTCTCTGAGAGCCATCCGTGCTCTTACAGCTGCATCAGGATGCTCCATTCATCTCACTACACCTCCAAATAATACCACTCGACTTACACTGAGGCGCCATCCTCGCTCTGGTGGTAGCAGGGTCAGGGAACAGGTACCACTCGCACAGAAATGGTCACGGTGGTAGAACAAAACCATGATACCAGAGTAGGGTTAACGTTTAACTGAGCCTTACCGAGACTACAAATGACATGAAGGCATCCTGTCCATACTACAGCATGCTGGTTGGAAGACAGCTTGTAATCAGGTCCCTTTCCTCAATTGTAGCTGTGGTATTGACAGGGCCTTAAAAATTGCCAGGGGGCTAAGTAGCAGAAATAATTGCTTAATGCACAACATTTTAGTTCAAGCTACAGTCACATCATCTTCCCTCTTCCTCCTCCTTTCTTTTTTATCCCCTAGTGCTGTTTTGACATATCCTAGATTGTGAGATACGCGCAGCAGTGATTGCCTTTATACAGTGTCCAGATATCACCCATTACTGATAGTGTTCCTGATCACTGACTGGATGCTCTTAGTTGCTAATAAAAAGAAAAGGGAATGACAGAGCTGTCCCTCCTCACAGAAAGCTCATGGATCATGGCAGTTGCGTCAGCTCCACATCACTGGTTCCCAAGTCTAAGATACAAGCAAATGTATGAGCCAGACAGGCACTGCAAAGTGCATCCTGACTCTTCATGCACAAGTGCCTGGCTCTCAGCATCTTACTTTGCTTCTAGAGGTCTCGTATCGATTAAGACCAGAGCCCGTGCCCTTGAAAACCTGTTCCTGATGTCATTTGCCCTGGTGGATATATATGCATGTTATGACAGCAGAGAAGCCCCTAATGCAGGGGTGCATCACCGGCCCATACAACTTAATCCAGTAATGTACTGAAGTAGACAGGGTTTCTGTCAGCGCAAACCACTTTGTGAGAGCAGTGCCACCTCTTCCAAACAAGCAGAAGCAACGTGAAGGCTACTCACAGCTCACCTGCCTGCCAACACGCTCAATGCAAGCACGATACGCCAATGCCCTTATTGCCCAATGATTATGAGAAAGACACTAACCCCAAAACTGTGTGTGTCATGTGGAAGCGTCTTCTGAGTTACTGTAGTTGCCAACAGTGAGGTGGTCCGAATCGGTTTCTTTACTGAAAAACACATAGCCTTTTTTTTTGTTTTACAAGCTTCAGTAGGGACTGGGGAAGACCATCTTTACTATAGTGACCCTGAACTAATATATATAATTAGTATCTCTCCCCCGCACATGCACACATGATACTTTTTTATCATTTTGCCTGCTGCTGTACATTTCAGGTATGGCGCAGGGTAGAGGCAGTCTGCCAGGGAAGCATGGGCTAAAAGTGGTCCAATGAGTCCTCTGATGCAGCCCATATCCATCCTTTTCTGCACCACAGAGGTGTGGTCCTGGGCGACTACAGGTCCCAGGGTGCAGGGCCCCAGCTTAATCCCAAGTGGCTAGACCTGCTGTGCCCTTGGGACACATCTACATTAAAAGGGAAGGGAAGGCTGCAATCTCAATTGACACGGCGCCCCCCCAGGACAATGCAGCCCCCGGCTGAAACCCCGTGGAGCAGACACTTGCAAAGGATGCAAAAGCAGTGCAGCCTGGTCTGAGCACCTTTTGTATGCCCAGTGACTCTTACAAGAGCCTGACACGTCCTTCACCTGGAAGGGACTGAAGGCATGATACAACAATACAAGCATAACAGGTATAAAACAGTAAGAAGCTTCCCTCCCTCTCCTGTTGGTGGCTGCAAGGCTACTCACTGTTGTTCAGCTTTGACTCGGTCACTTAGGAAGAAGAGGGCTGTGGCCAGGAAGAACATGCCTCCCAGGACGATGACAAAGGGGCAGAGCATGAGGGCATAGCCCAGGCTGAGAAACTCCCAGAGCGGGGACTCCTTCGTGCTCTGTTGGATCAGGTCGGAGATCTTGGAGGGAAGAGCAAGAAAAGAAAGAAATGTTACAACTCCAGGAAGTCGGGGGAACAGAGAATGAAACTCAGCATGAAGGCAGCCCAGGGACGAGGCTGCTTTAACCAGCGGCCTGCTGAGCACGTAGGCCGAGAGTTAAACAGGCACGTTCTCTTTATTCAACACCCTGCGTTCTTTGCATGCTTTTAAAAGCCCCTGCGTGCACCATTATCCTCCACTCGGGAGCCCTGGTGACATTTTCAGTCTGGAGCAGAGCAGAAATCTCCTCTCCTTATCGGTCTCTCAGCCTGCTTCAGTATTATTCCTTGTCCTTCTTCCCACTCGCCCAGATGGCTTCAGCATCTGAATGAACAAGTCTCATGCTGGATGTGCTAACCGAGGCTATTAACACAGCTGCACTACTACCTATGAAATATGAAACTGTAGTGAATTCTGCAGGCTGGGTTATTCCTCCTCTGTTATCTGCCCTTCGGAAGGAGGTATATCACAGCCCATATGCTTATGCTGCACATGTGGGCGTGCAGAGGGCTCCCCCAGAGAACGTAAAAGCTATAGGGTCTTGTCTGTGCTTCACAGACACAGAGCGCTCTCCTGAGAAGGCACTTATCCTTGTGTTTGAAGCCAGTTTTCTCTTACCCTTTGTAATTCTGCGTGCCCACTGCTGTCAGCATTGCTGTAGTGCCCTGGGCATCCCTGTTTACTAGATATAAACAGGACAAACGGCTTCACCCCAAGAGCTTAACTTCTAACTAGCTGCTTCCTTCTATTAAGAGGTAGCAAACTTTGGCAATAAGTCAACAGGTTTATATGACAGAGGGCAGATTTGAGGCATGTGGCATTACAGAAGCGGTCTTATCCTGGTATTACGTATTTCAGCACTGGAAAATAGGGTTGTGTTCAATACCGCCAAAACACAAACCAAATCTTAGCATGAGTTGGTCAACAATCCAAGTTGCCTTTGCTAGCTCTAAGTGCAAACCACTATAAGGACTACAGTGGTGCCTTTAGACACAGGCATATTTGTGTCTTGCTACCCCATTTGACCTACAGTATTTCTTGTGTGAGACTACTGCAAAGAAGACCAATTAGCCCTACACGCGGTCAGGAATTTGGGATGTCAGCTCCTATTGAAAGGTGGAGGGAGACCCACCACACACTTCCTGAACTAACTGAACATTTCCAAATCTAAAGCAATGCCCTCAATGCAATGCTAGAAACAGACAGAGCTTGTGCAGCGTGGGTTTTTCATCAACCCTAAACTGCTTCCCTCCTTTCTCATGAAGCAGGATCCTTCATGGCAAGAACAACTGGCTTAAGGCAGAAAAATACAAGCAACAAGAGAAATTTATTTACTGGTTATAAGTGTACAGTGACAGACTGATTCAAGCAGAAGAAAATCATACACCTAAAAGAAATCACTAATTCCCAGTTCTTCAATGACATGTAATGAGGCAGTGGGTAAAAGCCATTAGAAGTGGCCTCAGCAGATGAGAATAAAGAGAATAACAAAAGGTTATACTAAAACAGGCTATGTGGGGTTTCAACGAAAGGTGCATAGAGGGCTGCGAGGGCAGTGCCGGTCTCACGTCTCAGCCTTCCTCTTTCCAGAATAGTTTCTGAGATGAAGCACATGTCACGAAAGATATGCAGGGGGACCTGGGCAGATGTCTGTAGCACCATTTCTCACTTTATGAGACATCTGATAAATGAGGAGCCAGCAGAAGGATGTGGTGCATGCCTCAAATGCTTGTACTCCTGTTTTGGAAACCGATTTTTCTCTGAAAAACACTGTGGCTACAATGAGGATTTGGACTTCCCAAACCTAAAGCTCTTAAGCCAAATCCTGTGCCCCATTCTTATCCTAAAACAGAGGGTGAAGTTTGGGCATTTGGGATGTAGCCAAGGAGCTTTTGCTGCCCTCTTAAGTAGAACCCTGTGCCACTTGTCCAATGTATAATTAGAAAATAGGAAAACAAAAGTGCGGTTAAATGAGAGGCTTTTCCTTTCTTTCTGTAAAAAATGATCTCTGGGCTGCAAAGCAAAAGTAGCGACTGTTAATCTGTGACATTTATTTAAGAAAATAACTACTAGGCAGGACTGTGAAGAAAATAAGTGCTCAGGAAATTAGAGGAACAAAGAATGCAACCTATATGCTGCCAGGAGACAGAGACCTCAATTAGCAGTTATTTCTCTGCTCGCGCATCCAGTTGCTAAGTGTCAAAATGTCCTTTGTTCTCCATTTGTAACCAAAATTAGGCAACGGACCAACTTCTCAACATGCACCAGCAACAATTTAAACTAGACGCTTTCACCTAAAGATGCCAAAGCACTTTTCAACAGTAGACTGGTACTAGCCTGCCAGGGATCAAGTGACAAATCTCACACCCCCTACACACAAGACAGGACTATAACCAAAGCAGCAACTCCCTGTTGTTTCTCTAACCACTGGGCATTGCCTCCACTTGCACAAAAATGTGCTAGTCTAGACCAAAAGAACATTTTTCTTCAGCTCACACAAATATCAAAAAGAAGCCACTACATACTTCATGCTTTCTACCAAATGAACCCATCAACTCCTGACTTTTACTCCTCGGTCTCCATAGTAGAACTAAGCCAACATCTTGCAAGCTTTAACTAAACACATCTGTTCTTCACCTGTACATTTGGGAAAGTAGTTTCCCCCACCCCCACCACGCACAACTTGGGTACCAGGAAGTTCCTGCCAACTGTTTGCACTTAAGGCTGGCCTTTGTATCTTGGGGGTGGCTCAACCCCAAGACAATCAGAGAACCTCACCCCCTCTGTTGGATTTAACCTCACAATACCCCTGGGAGGTAGGGTAGTGCTATTAACTCCATATTGCAGATGGGGATATGAACCCAGCTCTCTGTGCCCCAGATTAATGGTCTAACAACAAGCCCCTCCTTCGTGATGGATAGAAAGCTGCTCTTTCCTTCTGTGCAGAAGCTTCCCCACCATGGCACCTGAGCCCCCCCGTTCTCTGCGTACTGCTGTTTATTAGAGACAGTTCCTGGAAGGCAGAGAGAGCTTTACCTCCTGATTTTCAGAAGCATTAAGCACTTGCACCTCCCATTGGCTTCCACAGTCGCAGGTGCACAGCAGCTTTGAAAACTGGGCTGTTAGTTAACAAAAGAAAAGCGTATTCTTGAGTTGTCCCCATTTAAAAGCTTCCAAGATAGAGTCTAGTATTGACTCTGAAATGAGATTTCCCCACCTGGAAGCAAAGAAAAAAATAATTCCAGTGCAAAACACCCAGACTGCCAGAATTTGGTTCTTACCAATTTTACTACTTCACTAGCTCCATACGCATTATTTTTGCTGTTCATTTACCCAGTGTGACTCTCTAGGCATCCCAGTCATTTGCTTTATCCTTCTCTAAAGCAATTGTTAATACCGCAACCTTTACACCTTCTGTTAGGGAAAAGCACGATCTGGTGTAAGACCGAGTATCCCTTTGGCCTGCTTTATTAACACTTCTTGCCAGCTGGCTTCACTTGTGCTGCCATTATCTTTTTCTGACTGGATCAAAGTATCTTTGTTCCAAGGGCCTTGAAGTGGCCAGCATGGTACAGGCTTTCCCAGGAGCAGATACTCCACATGTACATTGATGTGATTTGTCTGGCTGTGATTTGGTATGGCCCAGTCCTGAGAGACATTCAGTACCTTGCATCTGCCACTGGCCTCAGTGGGCATTTAGCACCATCAGCATCCAGACCATCATATTTTGTTCTTCCAGAAATGATGTGCTTGGGAAAGAAGGAAGCAGATCAGCGACTAGAATGAAAGGCGAGTGAAGAGGTTTTGCCGTTCTTTTCCAATCTAATCTAAGCCCTTCACTAAAGCTCCAAGAAACCCCAAACCCCAGTGTCATTTTGAGCAGCTCATGTAGTGTTGACCACAGATGAACAGGAACGAGTCCATTGCAATTAGTTCACTCGTGGCATTTTTAGAACGTTTGATTGCAAACGGCAGGCGCTCAACAGATGGCAGTCGACTGGATGGAGTCCATATAGAGAAAAGCCCATTTTCTGAGTGATTTTGCATGACAGAACATTAATGATATGATTACAATGGGCCCAACTCACTAAACCCATTCAGCACTTGTGTCTCAGTCTGAGGATTAGGCAGGCTGCAGGGAAGGAGAGACCTCGGCACCTTTGCTTTGTAAATATGTGCTGTCTATTTTTGGAAGACTGAGCAACCTACTGGCATCTAGCAAAGCTCAGGTGTGCCACAGCCTAGGGAGACAGGCTCTTCTTCTGCATCACACACTCTCCAGAAGGGCACAAACAGTTCACTCAAATAGATTTCCTAATAACGATAGAAGAATAGCAGCAATTCAGTCCCCTGGGAAATCCATACCATCCCTTCCTCTTCATCTCACTGCTGAGTCTCATGTCTAACCTCTCTTCTTCCTCTCCACGCTTACTGGATTTTCTGACCACCCCATAGAGAGACACCTTCTACCTACCCGTGTGGCTGTTATAATACAGGATCTGAGTGTTCAACCCTTATTTTCATTTTCTCAGTTCTTGTTCTGCTTCTCTCCTCAATATTTCTGAAGACCGTATGCCTTGTAATCTCACTATTGCACTCAGAAATGGCTTGGGAATTTAAAGAGACACTACTGGCAAGTACAGGCCCAGCATTTTTTGAGGATTTTGCCAAACCGCACATGAATAGGAAATGTAAAACAACAAATACAAATAATGAACTTTTATAAAATGAAAATACAAATACTGCTTTGCATGGTAGAAACTCAACTGTACAGCATCATGCTAAACATAGGAAAGCAGTATAACCAAAGTGAAAGTACAATTGATTAGTCTGTGTTTCGGTCCTGCCTTTGAAGTTCTTTCAGTTTCAACCCTGACACATCTGGAGGCTGAAAAGGATGGCTGGTAATGTTGACAGTGTCCCTTTGAGAGCCCCGCTGGATTTGTCATTCAGTTGGCAAGGGTGTCAGCGTCATTCTG